TGAGGGAAATAATGGGTATCACAAAGCCCTACGCACTTATTACTATAGGTAAAACATTTATTTCTAAGCTTCGAGCAACCTCTTCAAGGAGAAAAACATGTTAAGTTGCACAGTCCACAAGTGTCTATTAGATAAAAATAAAACCAAGAAAATAAAACTAACCTCTTGAAAAAAACATAAATTTCTCACATGAAGACAAGAAAGAAATATGCCTTAAATGGCCCTCTCCCTTTCAATACGAGAATGAGGAAGATGTCAGAGTGGTAGAGACAGCAAGCAAAGAAAAAGTTCATGCCTGGAGCTTCCCTGGTGGCGCAGTGGTTGAGAGTCCGCCTGCCGATGCAGGGGACAAGGGTTTGTGCCCCGGTCCGGGAGGATCCCACATGCCGCAGAGCGGCTGGGCCCGTGAGCCATGGCCGCTGAGCCTGCATGTCTGGAGCCTGTGCTCCGTGACGGGAGCGATGGGAGAGGCCACAGCGGTGAGAGGCCCGCGTAACGCAAAAAAAAAAAAAAAGTTCATGCCTGGCTCTACTAACATTCACATGAACATAGGGGGGGACCCTGAATATAAGATTTCATCTAGTTTTTAGCTTTTCCCCCCATCTGAATATAAGATTTCATCTAGTTTTTAGCTTTTCCCCCCATTTGCAGTTTCTATTCCATTTGTGTCCTTGTTGTAAATAACCATATACGTTCTCAGTGTGTCAGGTTCTGTGTGTCAAGACTGCCTATGAAAAAAAAAAAAAAAAAAAAAAAAACCGCCTATGGGTCCCTCGCCTCATCATTGTTTTTCTTTTAATGGATACTCCTCCCAATTTGCTTCCCCAACAAAGTTGCCTAGCTAGAGACTATGCTTCCAGCTTCCTTACAGCTAGATGTGACCATATGTCCAAGTTCTTGCCACTGGTATAAATGCAACTGTAAGCCACATATTCAACTGCTGTGTCATTTCCTTACCTCTTCTCTCTCCCCCTTCCCTCTACCTGGAAGATGCACAGGTACTGCTGAGCCAGTTTTTGCTTTTTTTTTTTAATAAGCAGACAAGGGCAATGCCCTAGGGAATGGCAGGACAACACAACAGAAGAAACCTGGGTCCCTAGAGCAGAGCTGAACATCCACCTTGATCTATCCACCTTGATAGACAGATCTATCTATCTATCTATCTATCTATCATCTATCTAGATCCCCCATCCCTGGACTGTTTCCAAAAAAATAAGTAAATTCCTATATTATTTGAGACACTGTATTTTCAGTTTCCTTTATTCAATAGCTTAATCTGTATTCTGACCAACACAATTACAAAAACTTAGAAAGGTAGTATGTTTCCTTCAGGGTCTGACAAGTTGAAGGAGACTGAGAGAACATAACTTTGTTCTGTGAAATATGAATGGAAGACATCTCTCTAGGTCTTAAAAGTGTCCTAAAGGAAACTTCTGGGTCATGCCCAACATTTAAGCAGAAACAGAAATGATATTCAAAAGCCAAATAAATGAAAAATCTTTACATTAAGAAAAAAATATATTATCTTTGCAATTTTATATAATTGATTATAATGATTTTAACAACATATAAAATAATACAAAGTGATTTTAACAACATATAATATAATGTAGTCTAGCAGAATCAAATTAGAACTGTTGAAAATTTAAGTTGTTTTGTTGACTTACGTTTCATGGGTGCCAAAAAAGAAGATAGGATACTTATTTGCTGGAGGCTTCACAGCTCCCTCTGGGAGTTCATCAATCTATTAAAGATAAAACCATGTAAAATAGCATAAACATGATATAAACATTGTTCTGATAATTTATTGCTAATTTCAAAATAAAATCACTCTAATAAAAATCCCAACAGTTTTCCTTTCCTTGAACCTTATAAAATGATTCTAAAGGTCATATTTGGCACACCATATGGAGAGTAACACTGTAAATTGATTATAACTATTACGGTAATACATAATCAGGAGCCAAAACTACTAATTTCCTTCAACTCAATAGAATTACTCTTGGGAATCTGTCCTAGTGAAATAATTCAAAAGAATAACAAAAAAGAAACAGAAGATGCACTTTTGGGGGATAGTAACAAATTTTTATACCCCACCCTACAAGATAGGAGAATTATAGAAAATTAACTCAATATACTATGTAGTCATTGAAAGATATCATCTCTTGCCTGGACTAGTGCAAGTCTCTCCCCATCCACTGAAGCTCACATTACCTTTTTAAATGCATATTTGATTGTGTCAAATCCTTCAACAGCTTGTCATAGCTGCGCATCTGAAACCTCTGGGGCTTTTAAAAACTAAAGATCATCAGTCCTTCCCCAGACCCAGCAATTTTTATGTACAGCTGAGGTTGAAAACTTCTCATACGATAAAGTCTAAATTCTTTAGAATGCTACATAGTTATATATACATCATTCCCTAGAATGTTTCAAGAAATGGTCCTTGACTCCTAAATCTCCATCTGTAGTTCCAACCTTTCCTTTGAACTCCAGGAATGAAATTACAAACATCTACAAACCATTTCCATTTACAGGTCCTACAAGCAGCTTAAAATGAAGAAAAGGCCTGGAGTTCTTCCGAAGAGGCATACTTGGAGTTTATAGAGCAAGGAAAAGGGTCTGGTACCCTGTGTCCTGAAGATATCTGCAGGCCTTCTTAACTAACATATGGCGACAGCCTGAGGACTACTACAGCATCACAACATTCATCTCTGAACTGAATGAACCATGAGTCACAGAACAGATGCCCTGGTGTACTGAGAAAAGATGGACTTTCTGTCTAGAAACTTTAGTCCTGCTTCTGACTTCAATTGTGATATCGAAGATATCACTTAATGACTTTCACATCTGTAAAATGAGATGGTTGCACTAGGTAACCTCTAGGTTTCCTTCAAGTCCTGAAATTCCATGCCTTGCCTAAAACTGAACAAATTTTCTCTGAATCTGTTTTTGTTTCCTATCTTAAGTACTGGTACACTCAGTACCAAGAAAGAAACCTTAATCTTTTTATTATTTCCTCAAGCTCCACATTCAGTTTTTCACCAAATTCCCCAATTTGGCTCCTGAAATGTCTCCAAATTGAACACCATTCCCATTACTAAATTTAGTTCCCTAACAAAGTTCTCATGATCTTTTGACAAGGCCACAGCAGCCTGTCAAAGTATCTCCTTGCCTCTGGGCTTTCCTGTTACAGACTGTACAACTTCTGGGTAAACCCTGTATGTTTTACATTCAATACACTACCCTACAAAGACAATTTAAAATGAGTAATTTCATTTTGAATAAAATTCAATTATACACACACACACACACACACACACACACACACACTCTCTCTCTCTCTCTCTCTCTCTCTCTCTCTCTCTCTCATACATATATTATTGTGGTAAAAAATACATAACATAAAATTTTCTATTTACCCATTTTCAAATTTACAGTTCAGTAGTGTTAAGAATATTCACACTATGATATAGATCTCCAGAAAATGAATAACTATACTTTAAATGGACAAAAAATAGAACTTAATATGGAAATGTATGTTTATGTATGTGGGAGGCACTGAATTGATAGCCGACAAAACACTATCACATCATGTTTTTTTTTCACTCTTGTGAGAAAACTGAAAATGTATCCTTTTAAAAAATCTTTTCTTTCAAAGAAAACACAACTTTTGGTTAAACTTTTCCTTCACTGTGTTATATAACTAACATCTACTGTAGAAGTTGCAAACTGACAGCCCTTAGGCCATGTCTGGCCTGAAGAAATGTTTTGTTTGGCTCATACAGTGTTTTTAAAAAACTGAATTAGGTATCAACACTTTAAAACTGGAAGATTCATCTTAAATCCAGAACAACAGCCTCTGTGAAAACATATGGAAGATAGGGATAAGCAATACTAAGCTTGCATTCCCAGGAGGCAACAATTAGCTGAAGATGATCAACAGCTGCCTTCAGACAAGGTATGTTCTCTCAAGTTTGCTACATTCCCCACCACTCTCTAGGTAATGATGTTAATGCCTGCTTCCCTTACTTACCATCGCTTGCCTGGCCCCTTTGAATATCTGAGTTCATACCCCTGTAATGAATAATGCCAAAATAGTGGCTTTACCATCACCCTGGTTCCCTCATAAAGGTGTTAAATGTTGACATGCACTCACTATATTTTACTGAGTCTTGTTTTGAAAATTACACTTTGACTTGTGGAATTATACGAAGTTGTTCAAGTGGATATACCTTCTTGAACCAATTAAAGAGTGCACCTCCTAGGCACTGGTTTTTGTTTGTTTGTTTTGGCTTCTAGAGTGAATACCAAGTGGCAGTAGAACTTTAACTTCAGAGTTTCTGTTTTTCTACTGTTTCTATTTTCCTGACTTTTATTTTCGCTTTTATTTCTGGTTCTTGGCTATGTTTGGTTCTGATTCTGGTTTGCACACAGCCAATGTGTTATTCCCCACTAATAGGAGGATGGGGACCTATTCTCTTTGGGGTATGACAGGGCAAATAATCTGGTACAATAGTCTTTTGGTTTGTAGAAGAATAAGTCTTGCTTTTACTGGAAAGAAAAGCCCTTTGAGATCTAGATCAGTGAGTATATGTATTTTGTGTTTCCTTTAACCTGTAACTGAAGTAGACCTGAAGCCGTAGGCTCTCTGTGTGCCTATCATACTTGAGAGTCTTTACCCTTCCCTGTGTGAGTTTGAAACATTTTCCTGTTTCTGGGAAGGGTATTAACAAATGAGATATAAATTTCTTAAAATGAAAGAGCTCTGTTTTTACTGATTTACAGACACTAATAAGATTACAAAAATCTAATATAAAGGAACGTAAGAATCCTCAAGAAATTAAAAAGTGAATGTAGAATACTTCAAATACGGTGGCCTTTTTGTTATCGTTCATTGTTTATCTGTCTGCTTTGTTCACTGCAGAGACACAGGGAATGTCAGTTAGAACTGAGGCTCTGTCCCTTGGAGTCTACAACTCTAACAAGTCCCATAGACTTGGGGCCTGGAGGCAGGCAGCTCACATTTCCTAGAAAACTTGTTCTCAGAGTTCATCCCTGGGCCTTCACTATCAGTGTCACCTGCGGACTCATTAGAAATGCTAGTTCTCAGTCCAGAACCATAATGAGGGTTAGGCCCAAGAATCAGTGTTTTAAGAAGCCTCCAGCTGTTTTTGATATACGTTATAAAACATTCCATCCTCCTGCTGTGGTTCCTGTGGATGAGTTGCCTTTGTTTCTTCTGATTAACATTAAGTCTGCTTAGGGAAGAGATATGGGGGTATATGTATACGGATAGCTGATTCACTTTGTTATAAAGCAAGAACTAACACACCATTGTAAAGCAATTATACTCCAATAAATATGTTAAAAAAAATAAAGACTGAGGCCAAAAAGAATGATAATGGAAAATCATAATAATGTTGATGTTATAAAAACAACAACAAAACATTAAGTCTGCTTATATCTGTGGGATTTTTACCCTGAGACCGCAAAATTGCATCAGTGCACGTTTATTTTCCTAATATTTTAAAAAATGTATAACATGTCCAATTTTCTATTTTTTAATTAAAGGAGTGCTACACTATATTAAATGTGGTGGCTTTTTAAGGAAAAAACCCTTCTCACAGGAACTGTTAGCTCGTAAGTATTCTTATATAAGAATCCAAATTTAAGTAATAAAAGTGCATCTTTGAACAAATCAGACTGGTTTACAATTTTGGTTTAAAAATAACTATTTGTCTTTATCTGGATTTAATCATTGTAGAGTGTAATATAAGTAAGTTTAAGAAAATAAAATTGGGGTTTCTCATGAAGATACTAATTTACATCTGAATTCCTTAAGTTCTGAAGTTCTTACCTAACCTCCCTCGGTAGACTTCCCTGGTGGTGCAGTGGTTAAGAATCCACCTGCCAATGCAGGGGACACAGGTTCGATCCCTGGTCCAGGAAGATCCCACATGCCGCAGAGCAATGAAGCCCGTGCACCACAACTACTGAGCCTGCGTTCTAGAGCCCGCGAGCCACAACTACTGAGGCCTCGTGCCACAAACTACTGAAGCCCACGCGCCTAGAGCCCGAGCTCCGCAACAAGAGAACCACTGCAATGAGAAGCCTGCGCACCTCAAGGAAGAGTAGCCCCTGCTCACTGCAACTAGAGAAAGCCCGCACACAGCAACGAAGACCCAGTGCAGCCAAAAATAAATAATAATAAAAAAAATAAAGGCATCATCATATAGATAAAAACAAATAAGTAAATAATTAAAAAAAGAATAAAATGGACATTAAAAAAAAAGGAAAAATGGGTCTACTGATAAGCTAATATTACTTCCATATAATGTTTAAGATGAAGAAAAACGTAAACTTAAATTATAATTCTGACAAACTTTTCTATATCAGCAGTAATTATGTTCTGTGGTATGTTAAGATTAAACATAATTTCCAACAGTTAACTTTAAGACCTTGGACTAATATTAAATTGAGTTAAAGGATCATCTTTGCATCTTTGAATAATTCCTAAGTAAGACAGAATACTGAAACATTGGTCAGCAAGTGTAGTTTTAACATATATATGATTTTAATTTTTATATGTTATGTAGCGGAAAGGATGTGTGTATTAGGTGTATCCATGAGCTTTGCTGGTTTGTTAAAACACTTGTATATAACAGAAATTTCTCAGTTTCTCTGTGAAACAGAAGTTAGTTACCTTGGTTAAGTTATAATTGATATGCAGATTGAGACTGTATT